GGCATTGGTCACACGATTTGTCAGGAATTTTATCGCTAGGATCAGAGGGAAACATGAAGATTTAACCTTCACAGAATTAGGGAGTCAGGAGATGAGTAAAGCAGAAAAACTTTGGTTGAAGGCTTCACAAGACAGGCTAAAGAAGGAGGATAAGTTCAAGCAGTTAGAGGTACAACTCAAGGTAGTAAAAGATGAGGGGTTACTAAAATGTCAGGGTAGGCTAGCAGAATCAGACTTGGAAGAGGAAACGAAGTTTCCAATCTTATTACCAAAGGAAGGTAGATTGACGGAATTAATACTTGAGCATTGCCACAAAAAGGTACATCATAGCGGAGTTATGGCAACTTTAGCAGAGATAAGGTCAAGGTTCTGGATTCCACAAGGCAGACAGAAGGTAAAATCAATTCTCAACAAATGTGTAGTGTGTAAAAAAGTAGAGGGTAAACCATATAATAGACCTAACGAAGCAAACCTTCCGGCATTCAGAGTAGAGCAAGCGGAACCATTTTCGAAGACAGGGGTAGATTTTGCTGGACCACCGTAATTGAACAATACATCAGGAGGGACAGACAAAGTATACATCGCATTGTTTTCCTGTTGCGTAACTAGGCCATACATTTAGACTTAGTTAAAGATTTGTCTGCGGATGAATTCATGAGATGCCTTACACGATTTTCAGCTAGAAGGGGGACCCCATCATTAATGGTATCGGACAATGCGAAAACATTCAAAGCAACAGTCAAGACTTTAGAAAACCTCTATAATAATGCAAGTGTGCAAGGGTATTTGGGAAACAATAGGATAGAGTGGAAATTCAACCTAGAAAGAGCTCCCTGGTGGGGTGGATTTTTTGAAAGGATGGCTAGGTCAGTGAAGAGGTGCTTGAAGAAGGTACTAGGAAATGCTAGATTGACATTTGAAGAACTACTGAAAGTGATGATAGAAGTTGAGGCAACACTAAGTTCTAGGCCATTGACGTATACGAACGACGAGGTGGGTAGTGAACCACTAACTCCGTCGCATTTGGTGACGGGAAGAAGTTTTTTGTCCATGCCAGACGATGGGTCTGGTGAAGAGGAGTCTGATGAGGGTTACTGTAAAAAACGGTATCAGTATTTGAGTAAAAAAAATGCATTTCTGTAGAGTATTTGGTTGGTTTAAGAGAGTTTCATAAGCAGGACAAGGACAATGCCATTAGGGTAGTAGAGAAGGGAGATGTCGTGACTGTTTATGAGGATAATGTCAAAAGAGGAATTTGGAAGACAGGTGTAATAGAGGAGTTGTTTTTAGGGAGAGATGGGGTGGTAAGAGGCGCTAAGATCAGGCTAGTTAAGAACGGAAAGTCATTCACATCAATCGTTCCGTCCAAAAGCTCTTTCCGACCGAGTTAAAGCACGACGAAAGGGAATGTGAGCGAAAAGAGAATGAAAAAAAGCTAAGAGGAAGGGAGGCAAAACATGAGGGTAGACGCAAGAGAGCCGCTGCTCTTGATTCCGTATGGAAGACACAGAGTATGCTTGATTAGTGGGACTAATCAAGGTGGGGAGTGTGTTGTAAGTTGTCATGTTAAATTATGTAGAGTGTGACTGTGTCTTATTATAGATTATAAGATATAAAGGATATTAAATTGATGTAAAACAGTATAGATATGTTAAGAGAACACTTCCTCGCCGCAATGCGTCATTGTGGTAGGATGTAGGGAGAAACGGAATGGCGAAGTTGCGCGTCATATGTAAACGCCCAAAAACCACTTTCGAATAATGATACATAAATATAGCTTGCAAGCGTTGGTTTAGGGGTTCGGAAAAGTTGACGTTATTGGTGTATGAATTGGTCATACAAATTTGATGATATAGAGTCGTATTGCAGAAGGCAATAAATTTCGAAAACGCAGTTCTAGGATTGACGGTTGTCCGTAATCTTATCGAGATCCATTTAATCATTCCGTATCGCGAAGAACCAACGCTTGGAACGTAAAATCGTGCACAACACTGTAAATATCTTATTGAAGTGTTAAAAATACAGTCGCATCGTTAGTGTGAAGTTTTAGAAAAGTGAACCAGCACTTCGCACAGATTGTGCGAAACCACCTTTGGGATGCCAGACGAATGCGCTACTGAGGATGGACCACCATTCACCACCGTCAAAATACCTCAAATAATGGGGAGTACACCACCGCCTCGCCTCCGTTGCATTTCCGCACTCAAATTGTCGCGCGGAGGTTGCAGTTGAAACTGTGAAACGTCTCATCACGAGCAATACCGGCCCCACCGGTAGCCTCAACACAAACGCCTTACAAATTGCTGTTCTACAATATCGTAACACGCCCGATACTGATACGAAATTATCACCCCCACAATGCGTCTTTGGTAGACCTATTAAGGACTTCATACCAATTCCCCCCGGCCGTTATAAGCAACACGCAACCTGGAGCGAAACACTCGATGCTCGAGAGGAGGCTTTACGAAACCGGCACATGAGAGCGGCGGAACGTTGGTCAGAACACACAAGAAGATTACCACCTCTGTCCACTGGACATCACGTAAGAATACAGAACCAAACAGGACCGTACCCTACGAAATGGGACAAGACTGGAACAGTCATCGAAGTTCTTCAACACGATCAATACCGCGTCAAAGTCGACGGATCCAACAGAATTACACTAAGAAACAGAAAAATTTCTCCGGCATTTCACACCTGTACAAGAGCGGCCACCTAAATGTACTATTGATACGGACCTGCTGCTGATACCAAAAGTGTCAATGGAGAACCTTACTCCCAGCAAATTGACACCAGCCAACAGAAAACCAACATCGTCATTCCCACGTCTAGGACCGACGACACAGACTGATACCCTGGAGCCAGCACCACTACCGAACATAGATACCGCACCGCAGATAGAACTTCATCAAACGCAACCAAGATACCTGAGGATGCCAGAGAACCTACACCAGCGACCACAAAGCGTAGCAAGAAAGCAACACTAGCACTACGCAGATTACTCGATTTCAACAAGAAAGGGCTGTTAGAAAATTGAGAGGATGAACAAATACCAAAGAACAACTTTATATTACGTTTTCCTATGCTGGAAAAGACTTAAGGGGATAGAGCATAATGGGATAATCGTTGATTAATAAGGGGCCTGGACCCTACTGTTATTCTTGTTTGTCATTCGTAAACGAATGACCTCTGTATTTTGTCTCTCAATATATACTGTATTTTACAAGATCTTCATTTCGTAAAATAGACTAAGTCTTATCTAAAATATGCGTTTGTTTTCTAATGTTGGGAAAAGTAAAACTCACAGTTGGATAAGGTGACATTTCATTATATTCTGATAAATCAAGTGAAGGAAGGTGATAGAGAATTCTTGTTGTAGTCTTGTAGAAATTATACAGATTTGTTACCATCAAGTTCAATGTTTGGTTGTATCTTTTAGGTATATTTAACTACAAGCTGTTTCTGGTAATCTGAATTGATTCGTAAGGTGGCAAAAGTTAAGTTTATCAAAATCACAAGTCAAAAAGATGCTACACCCAGAATATAAAAATGTTCATTACTGTAATTGAATTGAATAATTAGTTTATAATTAGTTAATCGGTCTAATTTTAACGAGAAGAGCCTCAAACGTGGCATCATTATATAAGAATATCTGCTGTACACCACAATGTGGTCCAAAAGCTCTGTTTACAAATCGGAAATCAAAGATTTTAGTTATATTTATTTAATGCTATGAATTTTCATGTATCACCTTAGCGTCAACAGTTCGACGAAAGATAATTGACGTTATTGTTGTATGAATTGCAACGTCACAAAACGACAAAACGACTAAATGTTTAAAATACTCAACGATGGCATGCATGAGTCATTTGCAATTTCAAACCAAATTTTCTTCCTGATTCATAAAAGTCATTTCATATCATCACAAGTATAATGAAATACACATATTTTATAAATATACTATCCGCACCCAAAGATAACTATAATTGCATGCTAACAAGCAATTTAAATTCCTTAGCAAGCAAGCACATTATGATAAACACGCCTTCCTTCAGATGACAGTGATTTTTTGGTAAGCAAATTGTTTGTATTTGTAGCTTTGTTTAGTTTGTATACAACAACAGGATCGCAAGTTGCTACAGGGATCTATGATGTAATATGGGTAGTACTAGGTTGAGACTAATATTTATTAAAAGTGTATTAATTATATTTGACGAACAACTTCTATGTAAGATCTCATTTATACATCGTTAACACACATGATAATTCTTTGTCTTTTGTCTTACAAACCTTTTACTGGTCGACGATTGAGGCTTTGAACATTCGATCTTTCAGATTTCTTAACGTTCTGATAAGTTAAGCGTCAAATGGTTACGTCCTTTGAGTTGATACGTGGCAAATTATTTTGTGCAACTTAATTCAAAACATTAAAAGTTTATTGTTATGTAAAGCAAAGATACGGCCTTATGATTTTTATTGTTTTTATTAACATGTTTGAATTTTATTACCGTTTCCTTAGTATTTTGGGAGTTTGTTAAAAAAAACCTTAGCTCCATAATTAAGAGTTGGTCTTATACATGAAAATTCACAATATCAGATTGTAGAAGTTTTGTTTCATTTGATTGTTTAAAGGACATTGGCAACGAAAATTTTTATGGCATATTTTTGAACCTTTGTGATGTCTAACAACTAAAATAGAAAAATTTTTTCTCAAAAATATTTTGTTGCTGAGAAATTTGCAGCAAAAGTTTTATTAATTGCGCCATCTTGGATAAAATTTTGATAAAATTATCTCGAGCGGTAGTGACGTCATTGGCTGGTGAGCAGTCAAAACAACAATACAATATACTTTGTGATTGACTGTGTTACAACACATTTAAAGCCTATTTTACGGGGTTTTTTTGCTGTAATGGATGACATACACAAAAATCAACCGGGTGAGGCTCTGTCCTATCAATATGAACCCGAAATGAAGGCCGAAACAAGTGAAGATTGCGGTTCCGAACAGGAGAGTGAGCAGAGCGACTTGTCCTCGTCGGAGGATGAAATACATGCTGAATTTGAGAAAGCAAATGCTTAGCGCCTTCAAACTCTTAGTTGGTGTAAGTGTAGACATTCTACTTTGTCAAAAAAGGCAATCGAGTGTTTTTTTTGCCACGAAAAAGCGCTTGAATACGATGAGTATGAGGCTTTGCTAGGCCAAACAGAAACTCAAGGAGTAAATTGCTTGACAACACACCAAGAATTTAGGGACAATATGCTCTCAGAAAGTGTGTTAAAGATAGACGTGTGTCGGCATCTTGAAGAAAACTGGCCCCTGTCTGATGAGGATCTAGAGAGAATACACAAGCTGTATCGATTAGTTGCCTATCAAAGATGTTCTAGGTGGATTTTTCAAATTTTGGGGAAGAAACATCGAAGACCATTTCCTGCTTGTGTTTATGCTAGCATACGAAAACGCTTCGCGTCACCAGACGGACTTTATGCACATTTCAAATACGCCTGTTATCACGAAAGACCGTAAATTTAGTCTTAGACAGACGCTCTTTGATGTTCTTTGTTGTGATCTGCAATTGCGATGCCATATCATTGTCGAAGGATTGTCACGAACTGCGCAAAAGCAAAATGCATGAGTGATCCACCCAAAACTTGTATTCATTCATAAGTTATAAAGTTAATCGAAAAGTGTACTTGTACATCGTGCACGCAAACACGCAGTAAAACCTTACGAATAAACGAAACTCTACAGTCAAGAACAAAACATAGCGGCTTAGAGCTTATCACCTATATAAAACTACATAATCTTTCAAAGACTCTTATGTATACAAATAATAAATTAAACGTATAACTCATTTGTTGGTCACAGGTTTGTATTATGGGAAAATGAAATATTTCTATTGCACGAAATGTTTAGTGTATAAAACGCGCTTGTTGTTGTCTGGGCTTACACTTGGTATGTCGGCAAAACCTAGTTGTAAGATCTGCTAAATAACGACTAAATATAACGACTAAATATTGGAAAAGTATATAAGCGTGATAAACTACAGAACTTTTGTTAATCTTAACAACCGCCGACTGTTGTTTTTGTTTTAAAATTCCAGTGAACAAATGTGCTATATATTATTATAATACTATTATTTTATATTGTGTCATTCAGTGGATACCAGCCAATGACGTCAGTAATGTATTCTGGCATAATTTAGCATAAGGCTTTTTTTTCAAAATGGCGGATAAGGACTCAACTTTATGTCAAATTTTCTCAACAGCAAAATTCAAAAGAGACACGAAAACACGAAATTAAGTATTCCATAGCTATCTATGATAAACGTATGAAAAAAAATTTTCGTTGCCAATGTCCTTTAAGTTGAATAAGTCTAAACAGGCCTTCGTAGGCTTAAATGTTGGGAAAAGTAAATTTCACGCCTTGAAAAGATAACATTACATTATATTCTGATAAATTAAATGAAGTTAAATGAAGGAAGGCTGATATAGAATTCTTATTGCAGAAACTATAAAGATTTGTTAAGATCATGTCCGATGTTTGGTTGTATCATTTAAGTATATTTCAAGCTGTTTCTGGTAATAAGAATTGATCCGTAAGATGGCAAAAGTTAAGTCTATTAAAAGCATAATTCAAAACGACTTCACAACACGAATATAAAAATGTCCATTGCTGTAATTGAATTAACTAATTAGTTTATAACTAGTTGATTGGCATAATTTTAACCCACCTCCATGTGGTCCAAAAGCTTTGTTTTTATAAACAATGTTATACTCAGATATCTCAAGATTAAAAGTATCATGTAAGCTATGTTTCTACGATGAACACTACATCGGGTTCTTGCTGGGCAGCGAAATCGCGAATTATTTTGAGCTTTTCTTTTTAAATGTTAAGCCAATTTTATATATGCAAAATGCACTTCCGGTTACCCGCTATAGATAACAAATTACTATAAAAATGTTTGGCGGATAACGTTTGCAAACAAGGGTTTTCAATTATTGAAGACATTTGGCGACGTTTTACGTATTTCAAATATCTGTCATGGATAAGTAAAGTTATTTAAATCAAAGTGACATCAAAATGATTTCGATACCTGTAAAATATCGGCGTTCATGTTCATTTGAAAATCGCTCGTGCAAGAATCGAATTTGCCTAATAGTTGTCAAGACAAGATAATGTACAGCTTGCTTTCCAAGTTTAGAGACAGTTATGATCTAGAATATGTTTCAATGCGTAAAAATTGTGGTAAGTACCTTTATTTTATCATTCTTTATAATCTAGAGATTGTCGTATGTTACTTTTGCCGTGACTTTATGAGTCCGGGTAAATTGGTGTAGGAACAAACAAATTTACTAAGCTTAGTTTAAACTTAGTTTTCATTTCTATTTTTATTTTGTAAAAATAATATTATCACTACACCTTGCTACAGCATTTGGATATGGTATTCATCAGTACGTATGGTTGTTATTGTCATAACATGCAGGGGCGGATCTAGGGTATGTCAAATCATTCACGCGACTGATGTTTTAGTTCAAAATTACTTATCAAATTTAATGATTACAATTTTTTGTGATCATTGAATTCCCGATGTATAATCGTATGAATTTTATTGTCAAAATTCTGTTTTATATCTGAAATCTTACGTAAATATCACGTTTTAGCATATCTGGAATTATATTAACTGACTGACTGATAAGCGGTGATGATTAATATTTTTTAACATGGTGTTATGTGATTATGTGATTTACAAAATGTTTTTGATTAAGAATCACGTAGCCTTAAACCTTTAAATAGTTGTAGTTTTTATTGCAAATCACAGCAGTTTTTAAACAGTAATATAATTTTACAAAGAGGTAATTGAATGTTTATTCATAACAATGCATGGTTGCTTTACAATACTAGTAAGTATCGTTTGTCCAATTATTGCATTCAAGTTTACAAACCACTATGTAGTTTACAATATGTAGTTTACAAACCACTTTTTTATCTCTTAGATTGGTTTATTAACTTTGCCTATTTCTTTAGTAAGCTTGCAATGTCAGTTAAATTATTTTTATTTAGAACTTTTGCTTAGAACATTTTCCATTTGCTGTTGTTAGCAAGTAAACTATAATGTTATACTTAAAATTTTAGGTTTACGTATAAATTAGATATGATACATGCATGTAAAGAAGAGAATAAGTTACAAATTAGGTATAGGAGATATATAAGTTACCATAACTTGTGAATGAGAATTATCATTTTTTTATTAAAACATTACGCTAAATGTTGTGATCACCAGCACTTAGGGGGAATGGGTTGTAACATTAGGATATGTTTAAATCAATCAAAAATAAATAGAGTGACAGTTACATTTATTATTTACTTTAGTTCATATCAAAAATAAAACATGACCAGGCGTAATACAAAAATTACTGGATTGCTGCTAATAAAGCTTTAAGATGCAGTGATGCAATGCCTAATGAAGATGGCTGTAGTAATCATACCGAATGCTTTAGAACATTAATCATACCGAAATGTTGATGGGCTTCTTTTGTTTAAAAGTTCTGCAAAAATATATGGCCAGTGTTGTGTGCCATTTTGAATATCAAACCTGTTGTAGTGTTTCCTATTGTCCTAACGTGTGTTGACTCCAAGCCAAAAGACTTGGAGTTTTTGGATGAGTTTATAGAAGATTTGAAGGGTATTCTAGAGAGGGGAGTCCAAGATGGGGAAAAGGTTCTAACTGTTACAGTAAGGGGCATTGTTTGTGATGCTCCTGCAAGAGCACTTGTTAAAGGTACAAAATTTTGTACTGGTTATTTTGGTTGTGACAAGTGTACACAAAAAGGAAAGGGGCTTGGTCAAGTGACTTACTCTTAAAATAATAATATAGAATTGTGCACTAATATTTCCTTTAGAAAGCAGATTTGAAGAACATCATCGCTTTGTTAGCCCTTTCTGTCACTTGCCTGTTGATATGGTAAAACAATTTCCATTTGACTACATGCATCAACTGTGTCTGGGTGTTATGCGTAAATTGACTATGGTTTGGGATGAGGGGAAATCGCGCTGCTAAAATGTCTGTTGCCCATGTAGAGGCTGTTAGTAAAAAATTGGTGGAGCTTAAACAATTTATCCCCTCTACATTTGTGCAAAAACCTATGAGTTTAATGGAGGTTGACAGATGGAAAGCTACAGAATTCAGACAGTTTCTTTTGTATACAGGCAAAATTTCTTTCAGCCGTCAATGAAATCTTATCAACAAATTCTAGAAGTAAGTACTATAGTTGAAATGCAATAGGCCATTGCTTTATTCAAAGGAGTGCAGTTTTCACATATTGCTACCTTGCATTTAAATCTAATATGTGATTTTGCTTTTTAGATTTGCCGGTGTACAGCGAGCTGATCTCCCTTGCAGAAAAAGGTATAAGCGCTACTATGATCATTGTACAAGTGGACAATTTTTTGACAGAAATATGCACGTATAAAATTTCTCTTTTCATACTAATATAATGTTGATCTAGATTTATATGACGGTGAACTAGCACCAGAAATCCTAAACACAAAGAATTATGCGATAACTTCCCCATCTACTAGTAGGACACCATCTCAACGTAGTGGTAAGTTTTCTGTCATCAGAACTGACTAATCAGCAACTTTCATATAACATGTCAACTAAAATGCTGAAATAATTTTGATTGATTCTTTTAAATAACTTTAACATTCGTATTGTACATTTGCTGTTTTTCTACGTCCATCATTGCATCATAGGGCTTATGTATGTTCTACAGGTGCTGTGGGCGTTGGTCCTTTAAAATGTTGTTGTAATTAGTTGAAAAAATGTTAGTTATAGTTAAAATTGCAGTTGTGTTCACCATGATTTAATCAAAATACATTCGTTCAAATCTAATTCTCAGTTTTTGCTATCAAACTACTAAATGAAACTTTCTCGAAATTTTTATTTTAGTCACCTTTCTGTTTCTGATTTTTGAAACTTGTAGTACTTTAATTTAAATGACGTTCGTGCGTTCAATAAAGATGTATGTTAAACCCAGTACGTGTCTTCTCTGTAGATACAAGCAACGTCTCTTCACAAGGAATTCCTACAACTGGCACTACAAGAGAAAGACAATCTCAACGAAGCAGTGGTTCTTAGGCAAGCTTTTCTTACAATTCATTATTGCATGTTTTGTTGTTACGTTTTCATTTACGTTCATTTCGTGTCGTTTGAAATGTTTTTTTTTTCTTCACAACTAACTGCAACACGTGATTGCTTTGCAGATGCGCATGACCTTTCATCGCACGAAACGTCTTCGAAAAGTTTTATGAACATAACACCTGCAGGAAGACGTTCTCAACCAAACATTAATGGTACCTTTTCGACAATATATAGTTTTTAAAAAGCGTTGTTATTATGTATGTGTATTTAATTAGCAATTTGATGCGAGTTTTATTTGAGTTTTCTTGTTAGCATGTTGTAAGGTTTTATATTTTTAAGATAATACGTAGGTTATACATAAGTTATTCTATTATTTTCTTATCTATTTTGTAGGCTTCCAAAGATCAGTTCTCACCAAACTGGAAACATTAATTGTTAAGCAAGAAGAAACGTTGTCAATATTGCGTGCTCTGTTAAGCGCTACGAAAGGTGTAGACGAGCACGAAATTTTGGAAGATGTTGTACCTAATGCCTTTGATTCGGTTTAAGAACTTGAGGACTATCCTCTAGTCTTGATGAAGAAAAGTCCAGAAGAAAGTTGGTAAGTTTTAGAAAGTTAACCATCCATACGTATTTAGTAATATTTATTGGCACTGCCTGTTTTTATGCATGACTCTTTCAAGTGTTGCGTAAAAAAATGTGACAAAGCAAAGGATAGCCCTTCCCCTTTATCGGTTTGGAAACGTGAAAACGATTGTTTCATTTGCAATTACGTAACATAATATTGACTTTTCTTCTACCATTTGTGTTTGAAGCTTGAAAACATGCACGTTTGTCAAAGTCTGAAACGTGCACTATCATACGCGTATCATTCTCGTATCATACGCGTATCCTTCTCGTATCATACGCGTATCCTTCTCGTATCATACGCGTATCCTCTTCGTATCATACGCGTGTCGTTCTCGTATCATACGCGTATCATTCTCGTATCATACGCGTATCCTTCTCGTATCATACGCGTATCCTTCTCGTATCATACGCGTATCCTCTTCGTATCATACGCGTGTCGTTCTAGTATCATACGCGTATCATTCTCGTATCATACGCGTATCGTTCTCGTATCATACGCGTATCATTCTCTTATCATACGCGTATCGCTCTCGTATCATACGCGTATCCTTCTCGTATCATACGCGTATCCTTCTCGTATCATACGCGTATCATTCTCTTATCATACGCGTATCGCTCTCGTATCATACGCGTATCCTTCTCGTATCATACGCGTATCCTTCTCGTATCATACGCGTATCCTCTTCGTATCATACGCGTGTCGTTTCATTTTATACGCATGTCGTTCTCGTGTCATATCCATATTACTTTCTTAATATTCTCGTATAAAGTCCTAAACTTAACCCTTTAGATGCTGAAGTTTTTCTTCAATATAGTTTTTCAAAAAACCATGACTTATGTTATCACAATTTGTTTCCGTTTCTATACAAGAATGTGTCACAAACTATTCAGCTATGTCATTGATAACTCATATGTATACTTAGATACGACGTGAGACAATAGCAGCTCATTGCAAAAGAAACCCAAAATTTATATACATGTATATATAAGATCATCTATTAAAAAATTCTTTTGCTATATCGTGCCTTTAAACTATTTCGTGAATAAAATATCTTAAGAGTATACTGACACTTTTTTATGTCATCATTGTGCTACAAAGCAATTGTTAGTGTGTCGTTTCTTATGTTTATAGCACACGCAACTTTGAATGAATCTCAAAACAAACTAATCACAATGACTTTCCGTTTTCATAGGATGTGTCTCAAACTATATACGTCATTGATGAGTCATATGTATACTTAGATACGACGTGAGATAAACACATTTCATTGAAACTAAAGCAACCCAAAATTTATGGATGCATAACATACATGAACTTGAATGGTATCATTTATAAAAACCCAATTGCTTTATTGTTCCTTTTAACTCCTTCATGGTGAAAATTTCTTAAGTGTATATTGATGACATCTATATGTCACCATAGTGCCGCTCATTACGATGAACAAAGTTCTATCAAGTATCACAGCGTTTCATCCTCGTATTATATGTACGCTTATCGTTCACGCATTATACGCTCATCATACGCGTATCCTTTTCGTATGATACGCGTATCGTTCTCGTATGATACGCGTATCGCTCTCGTATCATACGCGTAGCGTATGTTAACAAATACGCGAGCGGTACTGTAATTTTAATGACGATTTTCGTGACGTTAGAGGGTCAGATTATCTGATTAAACTATAAGAATCTAGCTTCGTGTTTTTCTTGAGAGCATTGTCGTGTTTTGATTGATTTAAATACGTTACTATACTTCAAACGGCTCTTAGGAGTGTGTCGTTTTATTTGTGCTGGAAAATTTTAACGAAGATACTGGTCTTTCTAAAAGCTCTCACCATTCACTTTGCATGGTTTTGTTTTGCAATTCGATATCAAAATGGTTATATATATATATGTCTAAATTGAACTTTGCCATATAATTTATCTTTTACTCTCTTTACTAGCTGCAGTTTTTGGTAGCACTTTGGCAAACACCTGTGCAAACAGTGTTAGAAGAATTATGAAAAAGCTGGGAACAAATAATCTATGGTCCCAATATAGTTTAAAAGTCAGAAAGTCAAAGCGACCATTTCAGCACCTTGCCCTCTGCAAAGTTATAACAAGTAAGCACAATTAGGCGATAATGATTGCTGCAGTAGTACCATGTTTTGTCTCTTTCTCGTTCATGAATTGGAAAAACAGCCATTTATGTTGTTCCTTCTCATAAGGAATATTGTTGCAAGTTTTAAAAGCTAATACATTAAACTGTTTTGCATATGTCACTTTAATGAATTGTTGTTTATCATTCAGCTTACGAAAATTATTTAGTGTTTTGTCTATGCAATTTATTTAAAGTATGTCTTTTCTGTTTCGTTTCACTTGTTAGAAGCCTGCCTCAGAGCTTATAAAGGATGCACCGAGGCCAACGTTGAAGAGAAAATTGCCAAATTTTTAAAATACGCTCCAGGCAAGCAAGGTGTTTCCAGATTTAAGGTAACATGTCATTATCATAATAGATTGCTGGGTAAAGTATATAGATGCCATTTTTTCTTTGTTTGATTTTCTCAACTTAGACAGGGAGAACTCAACTTATTTTACTCCGTAATCTCATAGTTAACATATTTGTATTTTCTTGTCTGTGTAAGTTGAGAAAAATACACAATAGCATTATTGGCATGTGCACTTAAAGAAAGTGAGCATGTGTCTTTCATTGTCTTTGAATTATAAGTAAAGCAAAATGAAATGGACACATATACATAATGCGCACCTTTAAAAATGTTCATTTTAGTGCAGGTATTATTTTTGTGCAAGTTTTAAATTTTGTTAACTCAAACTGCATGATTAGATTCATAATATACAATTTGCTTAGCGTGATATTAAACAATTATTGAATGAAATAGTATATGAATTAAGACTTATGAAGGCCAAGGTTTGTTCAATCTACCAACGCTGAGGCAGATAGAACACATTGATGCCTTGATAATTCTTTATATTACGTGAAAACCCAATTCAATAATTGTTTTATTATTTATATAAAAAAGATAGTGTTGGTTAAATGTGAAAAAGGTGCCATAACGATTAAAGTTTTGTTCACTTGTTTTGTTTCTCGTGCGTATGAGATGACGTTGTAGAGCGAGATAATTTCTTATATCCGACGTACGTACGTAGTGGCATTCATATAAGTGGATTTATTCGATTGCTTTTAAATGAATAAAACTAAAAAATACTTTGATCCATATTTTTATATAAATTACATTAGGAAGATATACATACAGCAGACGATTCAGTTTTCCATTTAAATGACATCTTTTACAAACAAATAAGTCATTGTTGTTGTAGGTGGTAAGACATATAAAATGATATATAGACTACCATTTTTTAATGATCATATATGTTATTTTCTTGCAGGTCCGAAAAGACAACTTATTGCAATCGCCTTTATTAGCATTTTTGTAAATATGTATATTAAAACACGCACTGCAAAATAGATGAATTAAAAGATGATTGTATGGATATTAAACTTTCGTTCGTATCATTGAAAAGGCTGTTTTATGATTTCAAAAATAATGCATCATTTATTGTATGTTGTATGAACGTCGGATAAACGTCTTATGAACGTTGTACAATCGTCGGGTTTAGGTTGAAAATACGTTACATCCCAACGTTTATCCTAACGTCGCCACCACGTTCCTACGAGTTGACAAAATCATGTTGTCTCAACTTTGGTCTCCGACGTTGAGTGAACGTTCGACGAACGTTGGTAAAACGTTGAGACAACGTAATTTTGCTAGCTGGGTAAGCACTTCGGGAAAAATTTTTTTGTTTATGGAAGTTGGAGGTACGTACGTCAACGCCATATTTCCGAGGGTCTCCATTTCAGTACTTTTTATAGGCCATGTTGATCGTTATGGTAATTTTACTCAAAAACAGTTGAAATTGCTTAATTCATTTAAATGAAGTGCATAAATACAAACTCTCGTACCGTTTAGCAATTTACTTATTCTCTATCATTAGATTTTCTACTCTTCATACTCAATTCATCACTATATCTGATGTGACTACAAATCTTACATAATTATACATAGTTATACCTATGTATAATAAGGCTGTATTCAGAAATTATCTTTTAACTAACTCGTATATTTACAATACGCGAAAGTGAGGCAAATGTATAGGTTTGTCAGCACTTTCGCTATCATTTAAATGAAGTGCATAAATACAAACTCTTGTACCGGTTAGCAATTTACTTATTCTCTATCATTAGATTTTCTACTCTTCATACTCAATTCATCACTATATCTGATGTGACTACAAATCTTACATAATTATACATAATTATACCTATGTAAAATATTTCTGTATTCAGAATTTAACTTTTAACTAACTCGTATATTTACAATACGCGGAAGTGAGGCAAATGTATAGGTTTGTCAGCACTTTCATGGAATGATGGAAATTTTCAAATGAGTAAAATAGAAGAGTTGCTGTACACAAATAATACAAAGCATTTGTGGATATGCACACGAAAGTTCTCTAGAATGGAAAAGCAAGGATGTCTCAACACTAAAAACATGGGGTGTTTACATAGGTGCGTATAAAGTATAGCAGCTCAAAAAATTAAAAAACGTATGCAATAGTTGTTAACAAAAAATACCAAAATTTTTGACATGCGCGTGACCTGTACCTGCCTACAACATTTGAGAAATTAACCTTCCACTCCTTTTAAACATGACAAGTCTACTCGAAAGCAGAGAGCCTTATACGCTACAAGTCCCGGGCTGTGACCGGTATAGCAGAATTAAAAGGTAAAAGGTTTATTATAGATTAATCAACTGAATATTCCTGCTCATTTTTGTTTGGAAGCATGTTGAACAGTTCATATGGACAAAGCTCGAATTCCATATTAAATATCAGTAACATAATCGGTGTTAATGTTTGACAATACATCATTTACCTTCAGTGAAAGCATCCCGCTTTCCACTGGAAAAGAATGAATCTAATATCGATGTTAATATATAATAGTAGTATAGTACATGGGGGTAGGGGATCAAAAAAAGTTTACTTTTTTTTATCCCATACACCCCATGTACTATACTACATATAACCGTGGGTAAAAACTATCTTTATAACAGCGTAAAATAAGACCATGGTTCAAAAGGCGTCCCTCAGTAAAAGGTCATGTAAAAAAGCTGTGCAAAAAATCGTTATTTCAAAGCAGTGTGAAAAAGGCCATGTTTCAAAGGCGTCCCTCAGTAAAAGGCCATGTAAAAAAGTCATTGTTTCAAAATTTGGAATCTATATGTTTTAAAAACAGTCTTTACAAACAAATGTTAACAAGCATCGGTTCGAGGGGATCGGCAGCACAGATCACGAAGTGATCGAGCAGGGAATGGATCCCCGAGAATTCTTGAACCCCCGGTGGGGAAATTTTTCACGAAGTGAAAAATCGGGGTTCACCCTTAGATTCAATGAATATTCGAAGAATATTCGAGAATAACAGAGGCTTAAGAAATGCTCTTAAAAAAACCGTCTTTAATAATCAAGTGTTAATAATCAAGTGTTAATAAAGCATCTTTTTAAATCGTTGTTAGGGGCGAAGAATTTCAGGCAACTAAGCCTGAAATTTTGAGCGCAACAATGTCATAGATGCTCTTTACAAAACTAAGGAAATAATATAGCTGGTTTTTTAGCGGCGCGCGTGTCTTAGTGCATGTTTTTCAACAATGGTTGTTTAATGTAATAGCACATTTCATCAGCGCATGTATAATAATACAATGTTGTACAAAATATGGAATCTATATGTTTTTTTAATTTGTCTGTCAAGCGAGTGTCATATAATTTTTGTTAAAAGTGTTTTTAATAATTGTTTCAGGATTTTGAATTCTTTTGTATATCGCTTTTGTATTAATTACTTATCTTTAGGTTTTAGCTTGATAGTTATTTTTAATAAATTTTTTTAATTTTTCGATTTCATCATTTACAAATTTTTTAGTTGATAGAATATTATCTTCTATAGTGGCCGCAAAATTTTGTGAATAACCATTATATCTCATAGATAATGTAGATTGATGGTGTGAATAAACTTGTATTTTGGCTAATCCATTAAATGCTTTAATCCATTTTCCTACCCATTCCATATAACCTAGTGAAGCTGGAGATTTTTTTTGTTCAATAATAATATAAATATAGTTTAAATTATCATCAACACAGTATACATGATATAAATCTAGTAATGCATTAACTATCTTTTTTTCATTATCATTTGTTAGTTTAATGATAAATTTTTTTTTAATCTTATCTACCATCATATCTAATTCAATTGTTTTAGAGTTATCAGACGGATTTATTAATAAAAGTGTAAATTCAATAGATTTAATATTATTAAAATTAATTCTGATAATATTTTTTTGGTTACTATTATTAGATGGGTTATAATTTAATTGATTACTATGGTATACTACTTTACCATTTACTTTGCTATCAATCTCATTTTTAGTATAATAGTTATTTAAATTAGAAGTCAAAGCATACTTACCATCAGCTTGTGTTTTAGTATAATAGTTAGTTAAATTAGAAGTTAAAGCATACTTATTATCTGTTTCAGTCTTTGTATAATATTTACCATCAGTTTGTGTTTTAGTATAATAGTTAGTTAAATTAGAAGTTAAAGCATACTTATTATCTGTTTCATTCTTATTATAATAGTTGGCTAATCTTGAACTTAAAGCATACTTATTATCTGTTTCAGTCTTTGTATAATATTTACCATCAGATTGTAATTTAGTATAATAGTTGGCTAAATTAGAAGTCAAAGCATACTTACCATCTGTTTCAGTCTTTGTATAATATTTATTTAAATTAGAACTTAAAGCATACTTACCATTTGTTTCATTCTTTGTATAATAGTTGGCTAATCTTGAAACAAAAACATATTTATTATCAGCTTGTGTTTTAGTATAATATTTTAGTAAATTAGAAATTAAAGCTTACTTACCATCAGCTTGAGTTTTAGTATAATAGTTATCTGATAGATGTGTTTTATCTACAGATCCTTGTATATTTACATTAATATCTGTTTTATCATGTCCATAAAATAAGCTCATTTATATTATTCCTCAGATTTTATATCCGGTTTATTATTTTTATGTTCATAAACATGTTTAATAGTTGTCACACTACCAGATAAAAATCCTAAAAAAGGCAATAGGGGGGATACTTTTTCTACTAAACTGTACACATCTCGTTTTAAAAGGTCGTCTGATTTAAGCTGTTTTGTTAATTCTTTGGGATCTTCAATAGCATCAAACCCTTTTAATATATCTGAAAATTTTGATATAACTAAATCAGTTAAAAACTCATTGGTTTTTTGGAGTCGTTTTTTCTCGTATTCAGTGTACAATTTATCAATATTTTTTTGGCTAGCTTTTTTAATGTAAGCAACAGACTTTTCTAAATAACCATCTTCAGCTAGTTTAAGTAGTTGATCTCTTTTATTAAAACTTTCTTGCGGCTTATCTTGTATATTATCATCACATACAGCATCTTTGATAGTATCATTTACGGAATCAATCTCATTAATTATATCATCAATTGTTTCAGGCTCTTTACGCTTTGGCATATATATAACACATGTTTTATTGCGGAATAACAATTTTCCATTGGTATGGGTATACAAGTTGAATTTCTAAATGTGCATACTTATTATTTTTCAATTTTTTGGTTATTTCTTCTATATAATCTTTCTCAAAACCATAAAGATAATCATCAAATATGGTTTTCATGTCATTGCGGTTTGGATTATAAAATGTAACTAAATAACTTATATTTTCACGATAAGGTTTAGAAATACTTGTCAATTGCTGTGTAATCACAATAGTAGAAAGCCCATAATGACGAGCACTGAATCCTAATTTTATTAATTGGGAGGTCCTATTTTTAACATCTAAACAACTTGCACAATCATCAAGTATAATAAGACTATTTGTCCCTTTATATACATAACTAACATATTTTAAAACAATATCTACCTGATCTTGGTCACATTCTACTTTAATTAAATCATTATCATTTATAAATTTCCATTCTTGATAGGTTTTATTATATGATAGCGTTGGACATAATAAAATAATGTAATCGAAATGTCTATTAAAGTTTTTTTCTAACATTGTGAGAAGGTAATGACTTTTACCACAATTCGTCATACCTACAATAATCATATTAAAGGGTGTGTCCATTTATATATTACTAGTTATTTAGTATTGAATACTTTGTAAATCATTATTAACAAATTGAACAAGAGCATCACTAATGACATAGATGTAACAGTTTAAATCTTTTGTATATGCTTTCTTTTTAATTTCGAGCAGAATGCCGTTTTGCGTATTCATGATCCGTTTTCCGTTGCCAGCAATATTTTTTTCTTGAAAGGTGCGTAGATCGATAACTAATGCAAATTTATCTTTATAAAATTTTTCAATTGTCATGAAGCAATCTATCGGAATAGTTCTATCAAAAAATTTTCTTGCTTCGTCATAAAATAGTCTTTTATTCATACCTTGGGCAAAGACCATATTGGGTACTCCCTCAATAGTTAATTTGACCGAATCAATCAAAGGGAATATAAATTTCTCGCTATCACTAACTGAATTGTCTGTGAATAGTAGTACAATGCCTTTCATGCTTTTACGAGGCACATTGACGTTAACATTCTGTAATGTACTTGACTTATCCCATTTTTCCTTTTTTAAGAGGGTTATATGTTTATAAAATAGACTTCTTCCTACAGAATATTAATTTGTCACCTCATCAGCAATTTCTTGATTTTCAATAGTTTCATATTCCAGCTGAATATTTTCTAATTCATAATCACCTATAGAATTACCACTTTGAGGGATAAGGACTTGATCACTCGGGGGTAATGTTATTATATATTGAAAGTTATTATTCATATTGAAAGGGCAATAAAGACCATGATCTTTAAGAATATTATCAATATTAATTTTCTGTCTTGTACCATAAATATCATACATTAATTTATCTGATACTTTTTCTGCACTTCCACTTGTCTCACTACTATCATCCTTAGAAATGAGTTTTCGTAAATTTTCGCTACATATACCATATTCAATAAGGCCTTGTCTATCACTTTTAGGTAACCACAAGTCTTTGTATACACTTATAACATTATGTTCACTACAATCGTAAAGGGTTTCACCAGCCACTTTAATTTGTAGTCTATGTTGTAAAATTTGACTGAGATTATTTAAAAAGTGACTTTTTGTATTACTGATTTTAAGATCAAACGATAGGTTAACCGAACTAGGGACTAAGCAACTATTTGATTTTAATTTCGGTATATTAATATAGACTTGTTCATTCGGTTTAAGACTATTAGGATTAAAGGTTATACTATAAAAAGTACGGTTACCTTTAATTTTTGTCATAGCAGTCCTTTTAAACCCAGGCAAAAGTTCATCTTGTAATAATCTATTCATATATATTAAAACATATTTTATTTTCTTCTTTGTTTATACTGATCATATAATAACAAAGCAGCAGCAATAGCTAAAACCCATAGATTAGAAGCTACCCATGATAGGCCTTTAGCTCCCCAAGATATAGCCTGAGCGATAATATTCAATAATGGTCCTAACACTGGCCATAATTTTTTACCTAAATTTGCTAAAGCCTTAGAAAATTTACTAGTAGCTTGAGCACCTTGTAGGATTGCTTTTCTAGCCCCTATGACAATGGTTGTAATTATCCCAGCCACAGATATAGCTAAAGCTGATAATCCTGGTATATTTTCCTTAACCCATTCTTTAAAACGCTGTAATCTAGTAATGTCTTCTTCCTGTTCCTCTAATACATCCTCTTTATCTAATTGCTCTTGTTCTTCTCTAATTATAGTTTCTAATTCTGCGGCTCTTTCATGTAAAATAGCTAATTCATCAATATTGTTGTCAATACCATTTTCATTTTCTATTTCATCTATTCTAACTTGAGTTTTGTTTAGCTCTTCAGTAAAGTGATTTATTTGTGCTTCTATGAATTGTGGTCGTGTTCTTTTATCGATTGTTTCAGATGGGTTC